TGAGTGCATGTGTTGACTACTGGTATCAGATTAATGTATGTGTTGCGTGCTGGTATTAGACACTCGTAGGTGTTGTGTTATAGTTTGCGATGACATTAGGTGTTGCGTACTGGTGTTAGACGAGTAGAGGTGTTATGTGGCTTACACTAAGAATGTGAATGCTTAACAGAGCGTGTGTGTGTGTGTGTGTGTGTGTGTGTGTGTGTGTGTGTGTGTGTGTGTGTACTCACCTATTTGTACTCACCTATTTGTGGCTGCAGGGGTCGAGTCATAGCTCCTGGCCCCGCCTCTTCGCTGATTGCTACTAGGTCCTCTCTCTCCCTGCCCCATGAGCTTTATCATACCTCGCCTTAAAACTATGTATGGTTCCCGCCTCCACTACGTCACTTTCTAGGCTATTCCACGGCCTGACTACTCTATGACTGAAGAAATACTTCCTAACATCCCTTTGATTCATCTGAGTCTTCAACTTCCAATTGTGACCTCTTGTGTCTGTGTCCCTTCTCTGGAACATCCCGTCTTTGTCCACCTTGTCTATTCCGTGCAGTATTTTATATGTCGTTATCATGTCTCCCCTGACCCTCCTGTCCTCCAGTGTCGTCAGACCGATTTCCCTCAACCTTTCTTCGTAGGACAATCCCCGTAGCTCTGGGACTAGTCTTGTTGCAAACCTTTGCACTTTATCTAGTTTCTTGACGTGCTTGACTAGGTGTGGATTCCAAACTGGTGCTGCATACTCCAGTATGGGCCTGACGTAAATGATATACAGAGTCTTGAACGAATCCTTACTGAGGTATCGGAACGCTATCCGTAGGTTTGCCAGGCGCCCGTATGCTGCTGCAGTTATCTGATGTGCGCCTCAGGAGATATACTCGGTGTTATACTCACCCCCAGATCTTTTTCCTTGAGTGAGGTTTGCAGTCTTTGGCCATCTAAACTATATTGTGTCTGCGGTCTTCTTTGCCCTTCCCCAATCTTCATGACTTTGCATTTGGCAGGGTTAAACTCAAGGAGCCAGTTGCTGGACCAGACTTGTAGCCTGTCCAGGTCTCTTTGTAGCCCTGCCTGATCCTCATCCGATTTGATTCTTCTCATTAACTTCACATCATCTGCAAACAAGGGCACTTCTGAGTCTATCCCTTCCGTTATGTCGTTCACATATACCAAGAACAGCACAGGTCCTAGGACTGACCCCTGTGGAACCCCGCTTGTCACAGGTGCCCACTCTGACACCTCGTCACGTACCATCACTCGTTGGTGCCTCCCTGTCAGGTATTCCCTGATCCATTGCAGTGCCTTTCCTGTTATGTGTGCCCGATCCTCTAGCTTTTGCAGTAACCTCTTGTGAGGAACTGTGTCGAAGGCCTTCTTGCAGTCCAAAAGAATGCAGTCGATCCACCCCTCTCTCTCTTGTCTTACTTCTGTCACCTTGTCATAAAACTCTAGTAGGTTTGTGACACAGGATTTTCCTTCCCTGAAACCGTGCTGGTTGTCAATTATACACTTGTTTCTTTCCAGGTGCCCCACCACTCTCCTCCTGATGATCTTCTCCATGACCTTGCATACTATACACGTTAGTGATACAGGTCTGTAGTTTAGTGCCTCATGTCTGTCTCCCTTTTTAAAAATTGGAACTACATTTGCCATTTTCCATACCTCAGGGAGTTGCCCAGTTTCAAATGATGTGTTGAAGATCTTTGTTAATGGCACACACAATATCTCTGCTCCCTCTTTAAGGACCCATGGAGAGATGTTGTCTGGTCCCACCGCCTTTGAGGTGTCAAGTTCGCATAGCAGCTTCTTCACCTCCTCCTTGGTTATATGTACCTCATCCAGCACTTGCTGGTGTATTCCCCTGTTCTGATTTCCTGGAGTCCTACTGGTTTCCACTGTAAATACCTCTTTAAATCTTGTGTTGAGCTCCTGACATACCTCTCGGTCGTTTCTTGTGAATTCGCCATCACCCTTCCTCAGTCTGATTACCTGGTCCTTGACTGTTGTTTTCCTCCTGATGTGGCTGTACAACAGCTTCGGGTCAGTCTTGAGTTTCGATGGTATATCATTTTCATATTGTCGCTGAGCCTCCCTTCTTATCTGTGCATATTCGTTTCTGGCTCTTCGGCTAATCTCTTTATTTTCTTGAGTTCTCTGTCTTCTGTACCTTTTCCATTCTCTAGTACACCTAGTTTTTGCCTCCCTACACCTTTGGGTGAACCAAGGACTCGTTCTGTTCTTCCCATTATTTCTGTTTCCCTTGGGAACAAACCTCTCCTCCGCCTCCTTGCATTTTGTTGCCACATGTGTGTGTGTGTGTGTGTATGTGTGTGTGTGTGCGTGTGTATACTCACCTAGTTGAGGTTGCAGGGGTCGAGACCTAGCTCCTGGCCCCGCTTCTTCACTGGTCGCTACTAGGTCACTCTCCCTGAACCGTGAGCTTTATCATACCTCTGCTTAAACCTATGTATGGATACTGCCTCCACTACATCGCTTCCCAAATTACTTTACTTTCTGACTACTCTGTGGCTGAATAAATACTTCCTAACATCCCTGTGATTCATCTGTGTCTTCAACATCCAACTGTGTCCCCTTGTTACTGTGTCCCATCTCTGGAACATCCTGTCTTTGTCCACCTTGTCAATTCCTCTCAGTATTTTATATGTCGTTATCATGTCCCCCTTATCCCTCCTGTCCTCCAGTGTCGTCAGGTCGATTTCCCTTAACCTCTCCTCGTAGGACATACCCCTTAGCTCTGGGACTAATCTTGTTGCAAACCTTTGCACTTTCTCTAGTTTCTTTACGTGCTTGGCTAGGTGTGGGTTCCAAACTGGTGCCGTATACTCCAATCTGGGCCTAACGTACACGGTGTACAAGGTCCTGAACGATTCCTTATTAAGATGTCGGAATGCTGTTCTGAGGTTTGCTAGGCGCCCATATGCTGCAGCAGTTATTTGGTTGATGTGCGCTTCAGATGTGCCTGGTGTTATACTCACCCCAAGATCTTTTTCCTTGAATGAGGTTTGTAATCTCTGGCCCCCTCGACTGTACTCCGTCTGCGGTCTTCTTTGCCCTTCTCCAATCTTCATTACTTTGCACTTGGTGGGGTTGAACTCCAGGAGCCAATTGCTGGACCAGGTCTGCAGCCTCTCCAGATAAGTTTGTAGTTCTGCCTGGTCTTCGATCGAATGAATTCTTCTCATCAACTTCACGTCATCTGCAAACAGGGACACTTCGGAGTCTATTCCTTCCGTCACGTCGTTCACAAATACCAGAAACAGCACTGGACCTAGGACTGACCCCTGTGGGACCCCGCTGGTCACAGGCACCCATTCTGACACCTCGCCACGTACCGTAACTCGCTGCTGTCTTCCTGACAAGTATTTCCTGATCCATCATAGTGCCTTCCCTGTTATCCCTGCTTGGTCCTCCAGTTTTTGCACTAATCTCTTGTGTGGAACTGTGTCAAACGCCTTCTTGCACTCCAAGAAAATGCAATCCACTCACCCCTCTCTCTCTTGTCTTACTGCAGCCAGCATGTCATAGAACTCCAGTAGGTTTGTGACACAGGATTTCCCGTCCCTGAAATCATGTTGGCTGTTGTTGATGAGATCATTCCTTTCTAGGTGTTCCACCACTCTTCTCCTGATAATCTTCTCCATGACTTTGCCTACTATACATGTCAGTGACACTGGTCTGTAGTTTAGTGCTTCATGTCTGTCTCCTTTTTTAAAGATTGGGATTACATTTTCTGTTTTCCATGCCTCAGGCAATCTCCCTGTTTTGATAGATGTATTGAATATTGTTGTTAGGGGTACACATAGCGCCTCTGCTACCTCTCTCAGGACCCATGGAGAGATGTTATCTGGCCCCATTGCCTTTGAGGTATCTAGCTCACCCCGAAGCCTCTTCACTTCTCCCTCGGTAGTGTGTACTGTGTCCAGCACTTGGTGGTGTACCCCACCTCTCCGTCTTTCTGGAGCCCCTTCTGTCTCCTCTGTGAAAACTTCTTTGAATCTCTTGTTGAGTTCCTCACATACTTCAGTCATTTCTTGTTGTCTCTCCTCCTTCCTTCCTTAGCCTGATTACCTGGTCCTTGACTGTTGTTTTCATCCTGATGTGGCTGTATAACAGCTTCGGGTCAGATTTGGCTTTCACTGCTATGTCGTTTTCACATTGTCGTTGGGCCTCCCTTCTTATCTGTGCATATTCATTTCTGGCTCTACGACTGCTCTCCTTATTCTCCTGGGTCCTTTGCCTTCTATATTTCTTCCATTCCCTAACACACTTGGTTTCTGCCTCCCTGCACCTTTGGGTGAACTGTGGGCTCATCCTGGCTTTTTCATTATTCCTGTTACGCTTAGGTACAAACCTCTACTCAGCCTCCTTGCACATTGTTGTTACATATTCCATCATCTCATTAACTGGCTTCCCTGCCAGTTCTCTGTCCCACTGAACCCCCATTCAGGAAGTTCCTCATTCCCGTGTAGTCCCCTTTCTTGTAGTTTGGCTTCATTCGCCCTGGCCTTCCTGCTTCCCCCTCCACTTGTAGCTCTACTGTGTATTCGAAGCTTAAAACCACATGATCGCTGGCCCCAAGGGGTCTTTCATATGTGATGTCCTCAATATTTGCACTACTCAAGGTGAATACTAGGTCCAGTCTCGCTGGTTCATCCTCTCCTCTCTCTCTTGTAGCGTCCCTTACGTGTTGGTACATGAAGTTTTCCAGTACCACCTCCATCATATTAGCCCTCCATGTATCTTGGCCCCCATGTGGCTCCAAGTTCTCCCAATCAATCTTGTGGTTAAAGTCACCCATGATCAGGAGCTTTGCCTTGCATGCATGAGCTCTTCTGGCCACTGCAGCCAGTGTGTCAACCATCACTCTTTTGCTCTCATCATACTCTTGCCTTGGCCTCCTGCTGTTCTGTGGTGGGTTATACATCACTGCAATTACCACTTTGGGACCTCCAGAGTGAAGCGTTCCTGCTATGTAATCGCTTGCTTCTCCGCTGTCTCCTCTCTCCAGCTCATCAAAATTCCATCGGTTTTTGATCAGCAGTGCCACTCCTCCACCCCCCTGTTCCCTCTGTCTTTCCTCAGGATCTGGTACTCTGTTGGAAAGATGGCATCTGTTATCATACCTGTAAGCTTGGTTTCTGTGAGGGCTATGATGTCCGGTGATGCCTCTTTGACTCTCGTGCCAATCCTCCCACTTATTTATTATTCCATCAGCGTTTGTGTACCACACCTTCAGTTTCCTTTCCAACACTGTGGTTTGGGGGGCCTGTGAGGGTGGGAGACCTGGTGGCATACTGTGGGATTCTATAGCTGGGTGTTGGGTGAAAGCTGTGAGTATGGTTGTAGTTTGTGTTGGGATGGTGTGATAGGTTGTGGGGTTCTGGGATTGGTTCTGTGTGTACTTTCCCTTGCTGCTCTGTGCTGCTCTGATTGACCTCTGCTGGTTCCGTCCTTGTCTCCTTTCCTAGCTCCTTCCACTTTTTTGTCCTCTTCCTCAGCTGCTGTCTTTCTGTTTGTGTTCTGTCTCTGTCTAGGAACACCCTCTTGTACTCTTCGAGTACTTCAACCGTGGTTTCTCTTGGAGGATCCTGTTCCGCACTGTTTCTGTCCTGAGAATCAGCTTGATCGGTCATTGTCTCCCTTTCAATTACCCCCGTATTCTGTGTGTGTGTGTGTGTGTGTGTGTGTGCCTGTGTGTGTGCTGTGTGTGTGTGTGTGTGTGTGTGTGTGTGTGTGTGTGTGTGTGTGTGTGTGTTGTGTGTGTGTGTGTGTGTGTGTGTGTGTGTGCCTGTGTGTGCATGCGTGTGTGTGTGTTCGTGTGTGTGTGTGTGTGTGTGTGTGTGCATGCGTGTGTGCCTGTGTGTGTTTGTGCACCTGTGTGTGTGTGTGTGTATGTGTGTGTGTGTGTGTTTGTGTCTGTGTGTCTGTGTGTGTGTACTCACCTAATTGTACTTACCTAATTGTGGTTGCAGGGGTCGATACTCAGCTCCTGGCCTCGCCTCTTCACTGAGTGCTACTAGGTCCTCTCTCTCCTTGCTCCATGAGCTTTATCATACCTCATGTAAAAGCTATGTATTGTTCCTGCCTCCACTCCCTCACTTGCTAGGCAATTCCACTTCCTAACAACTCTATGACTGAAGAAATACTTCCTAACATCCCTTTGACTCATCTGGGTCTTCAACTTCCAATTGTGACCCCTTGTTTCTGTGTCCCATCTCTGGAACATCCTGTGTCTGTCCACCTTGTCTATTCCACGCAGTATTTTGTATGTCGTTATCATGTCTTCCCTAACCATACTGTCCTTCAGTGTCGTGTGTGTGTGTGTGTGTATGTGTGTATGTGTGGTGTGTGTGTGTGTGTGTGTGTGTGTGTGTGTGTGTGTACAGACTGGTACAGAGGAATGTGGGTATCTGTGTGTCTGGTCATAATTGTTAGTAGTATTGTTATTGTTATTACTCTTGCTGATGCTAACACCTGCTAGGGTATTTTTGAACCTTTATGTGTGTTTGTGTAATTGCCCAGTTGTAATTACCTATGTGGACGTGTAGGTTCTGAGCTTCTTTTGGGATCCTGTATTCGTTTTGTCTCTCGTATCTTACGCTGAAGCTGTGGATGATTCCGTCATATAGTATTTAGTTCGTTCCTCTTCTGATGCTGTGAGAGTATCTCTAAATGTTTTTGCAAGTTATCTTTATATTCAATTTAGATCTGTGTCCCCATTTTCTCTAACCTCTCACTTGTTTATTATTATTATTATTATTATTATTATTATATTATTATTATTATTATTATATTATTATTATTATTATTATTATTATTATTAGTATTATTATTGTTGTAATTAATATTTAGATGCAGCAGCATAGCTATGCTCGTAGTCCGGTTATTAGTATTTTCTTTATCACATTATTTTCTGAAGACTATAATTGTCACAGGGAACATTATATATTCTGGATGGAAGTTCTAAAGTCTATCACTGTTCGTGAAGATTTTTTTTTTTTTTTTTTTGCTTCTGACGTTTTGACAATTTGCATTTGTGGTCACTTCTAGATGGTGATAAAAAAAATCTTCAACCGTTTTCCTGTGATTTTTTATTATTATTTTTTTTTATGTGGGTTTTCACATTTTCTTTTTCTCGCATCAATTAACCAAGATATTTTTAGTGTTTTTTTCAGCTTTTCTTCCAAATCAATTTTTTTTTTCCCACAATTTTTCACTTTCTCTTTCTTCTCATTTTCAAAACCTCCATCATTATCTCTCTTCCCTAATCTTTCTTATTTTCCTTCATATCATTTTTCTCCTCTCCTCTCTATTTTTGTCTCTGTGACTAACTTGGTTGTTGTGTTGCAGGTGATGGGTTTGACCAACCTGCAGCGGATATATGTGTCACGGTGCAAACTGGTTCAGCTAGACGACGCCGCCTTCCGAGGCCTCACCAACCTTGTGGAGTTGGATCTGAGCAACAACGAGTTGACGCTGGTTCCTGCAGCAGCCCTGGAACACCTACCGGGCCTCATGCGCCTTCAGATGTCCAACAACCCCATTACAAAGATAAAAAATGGGGCCTTCAGAGGCCTTAAGTACCTCACCACGCTGGAGATGACCTCGTGTCTTATACAGACACTGGAGCCCAGAGCCTTCCAGGGACTGGATCAACTAGAGTGGCTCAAGTTGGATTCAAACCAGCTCAAGTCTGTTCCACATAAGATGATGCTTCCTAAGTCACTCCATGGTATCGACCTTCACAACAATCCCTGGAACTGCGATTGTCACTTACAGGAGTTGCGGACGTGGCTGGTCAAGTACAATGTCCCCTCTTCTATCGAGCCTAAGTGTTCGACGCCTGTGCGGCTTGAAGGACAGGTCATCAAAAATGTCCTTCCAGATGATTTTGCTTGCCCACCAGAGGTGAGACCAACTTCTCTTTACCTTGACGTTTTGGAGGGTAAGAACGTGTCTTTTGAGTGTCACGTGACGGCAGAACCGAGTGCTCGCATATACTGGAGATTTAATGAGCAGTCACTAGAAAACAGCTCTTTTGTGTACGATGAGAGTTCCTCATTCTATATCTTCGAGGAGAGTGGACCAAATGAAGAGAGAATCAGTCACCTGCGGATAGAATGGGTGACGAATGCTCATGCTGGATTATTCCAGTGTTTAGCAGAGAACCAGGCTGGCTTGGTCATCGCGAATTTTACACTGCGGATCAGTCAGCCGGTGATTGAGAGAGAGCCAGAAAATTTTGTAATGGACCACATCGTATACATTGGTGTTGCTCTGATGTCTCTGGTAGTGCTAGTATTCATTCTGCTGTGTGTGCTCATCTTCCGCTGCTGCCGGCGGCGATCTACAGCCCAGGAAAAGGTCATGGGGTCGCCTAGTTCCTCAGGCAATGGGAGAACTAAAGAAGCACCCATGCCATCCACGAACAACATGCCCAAGTACATACAGATGGGAACACCAGCGCCAAAAGTGAACGGCATCTCTTCTGAGCCACCACCAATATCTGTGATTGACACATCACCTTATCGCTCAGAACCCACGGGGGCTCAACAAACCAACCCAGACCTCATATCTGATGCTGCTGAGGAACGCGGAAAACTGGGTAAGAAAAGAGTCAGTATTCTCGGAGTGGAGGAAGTGGATGCATGTGGCACAAGAATCACAAGGAAACTGGACGATATCATGGAGGAGTATGAAGAGGGCTATGACCCCACCTACGACCACCTGCAGTCTCAAGTCGACCAGGAGTGCCGCTCGAATCGAAGTAATCCATACTCAACTTTACCTCGACGGAGAGACGTGGAGGTGGCCAACCCTTACCCCCTAACAGAGATCCCTCCTCCAGAGGAAATAAATGAAGGATCTCGCTTTTATGACCGAGAGGGCTTCCCTATAGACTATGGCTTGCCTCGTGAAGGTAACAGCACGTGGAAAGAAAGCAGTGGAGCAGGAGCAGGGCTCTCATCTAGTTACAACCCACTCCCATCAGAAGAGATTCCTCTCTATGCAACAGTCAGGCGCAACAGACACAGCTTGGCTGGGCGAACAGACCTCATGCATGACCAAAAGTACCCAGAGGATTACCGTCTCCACAGTCATGACCAGCATTTCCACCCCCCTGATGGTCGCTACTCTCAGGCCTATGGCCTTTCACCAGACAAATTCAATGTTATCAACAATGGCTCATGTGAGTTCTGCCCACCCCCACCACCCCCACATCCAGACTTCCAGGGAGACCCAAGCGGCCGAATCGGAGGTGATGGTTGCAGCTTCGACAACCTCTTGTCATCATGTGGGGGTGGCAGCCAGTGCTGTTATGCTGAGCAAGGTGGTAGAGTCTATGACAACTCCCTCCCGGAGAACTACAGACCCCTTGATCCTGAGCCACCTCCACCTGAGGGCTGGGGCGACCAAGATGAGGAGACACTGAACATGAGCACCTGGTGTGAGCATCCGGAGTCCCCAGGAACACGGGTTCTATACTCTCCTGACGAGGCCTACGACGACCAGCAGCAACCACAGGGTACTCAGGTGTAAGCAGTGCACACAAAACAAAATTATCGACAGAACTTCCACCTCCCTACCATTTCTTTTGTTCTGTTTCCTGTTATGAAGATTTGAGTACTGAAGTGGCTTCGTAATGTGACTGGAAGCAAGAGTGCAGCCACATTATACAGCTGCAAGATGGAGTATGATTGCCATTTCATGAGACTGCAAGAAAATAATGTATGGCAGCCATATCATGCAACTGTAAGGAAAGGGAGTGTGAAGGTCTAAAAATAATGACCAAATGTGTCAGCTGATCTTGTCAGCTGATCTTGTTGACTGTTCATGGGACCATGATCTGAGGTTCATGGAGAAGTGTACCTTCCAAACAATTGGGACGTGTGATTCACAGGGTTTGTAATATTACTGTAGGATAAACACGTTTGTACAGCACTGACACCAAAGATAAATAAAAACTTACCAAAGTTGAGTTGTGTGATGACCAGTAGTGCATAAGAGTTTTAACTAGAGCTGACATAATACCGAGAAATGTCCACTTACACTCACTTTAATATATATTTAACAATATCACTGTACGAATATCTACTTTTGTATGCATTTTCATAGTGAAGAGTTGTATATACCAATAATGTGAGGTTTGAATGCATAATAAACATAGCATATAACATGAAGGTGATATTACAAATAAGGGAAACGAGATTAGTCATCGTAGCTAGTGTGATTTTGTCCTAGAAATTGTCACCAACCATTCTCAAAAACGAGTGTGCCTCGAAGTTTTTAAGACGACGTATTTCTGACCAACTATGTAAGTACTATAAGAAGTTTCCCTAAGTAGGCTTGATAAAGCTCACATATACACGAGCAAATGAATACCACTGACGCTAGATGCCACGCTCTCATGGTAGGGTATCAACTCACATAGCTCAGTGTAAGAACGCTTAGCCCCATGAAGCATATTAATTTTAAAGAGTAGAGTGCGTAAACCTATCGGCACAACCTGAAACACCTGCGAAAGTAAGTATTGCTTGTGCATACCATCATGACGATTATTGTTCTCAAGATCACATGTGTTTGGACATAAGATAACAACTACAGTACAATATAACGCTTTGCCTACTACCCTTTATTATATGTTAAGGTGTGCTATCTGAGTTTAATTACATTATTAATTAAGTTGTGTACAGTCATTGTATTAGTAATAATTTACTTTTAAACACAGTAGTAACAAATACAAATGAAGAGCTTATCTCCATAGATAGTTTTTTTTAAAATTATGTAAGTTGTGATTATATTGTAAGTATTGACAGTGAGTAGTAATAATATATATGAGTGATATAGCAAGAGAGTGTAGTAATTTTAGTAGTGTAGTAATAATAGTAGTGTAAAATAGTATAGTAATAGAGAAGTAATAGTAATGTTGAAGATCAATAATATGTAGTAATAGCATAATAATTAGTTTTAAGTAGTGTAAAATACAAAAGTAATAGTATACATATATAGTATAGTTATTAGTAATTATAATATTAGATATAGTAATTATTAATATATAATAGTAGTAGTAGTAGAATAATAATAGTAGTAGTAGTAATAATAGTAGTAGTAGTAATAGTAGTAGTAGTAATATTTTTAAAGTAGTAGTATTAGTTAGTAGTAGTAGTAGTAGTAATAATAGTATAGTAGTAGTTAATATAATAGTAGTAGTATTTAATAATAGTAGTAGAAAGTAATAATAGTAGTAAGTAGTAATAGTAGTAGTAGTAGAAGTAGTAGTTGGGTATATAGTAGTAGTAGTTATAATGTAGAGTAGTAAAAAATAGTAGTAGTAGTAATAATAGTAGTAGTAGTAATAATAGTAGTAGTAGAGTAGTAATAGTAATAGTAGTAGTAGTAATAATAATAGTAGTAGTAGTAGTTAAGTATAGTAGTAGTAATAATAGTAGTAGTAGTAATAATAGTAGTAGTAGTAGTAATAATAGTAGTAGGTATAAATAGTAGTAGTAGTAGTAATAATATAGTAGTAGTAGTAATAATAGTATAGTAGTAGTAATAATAGTATTTAATAGTTAAGTAGTAGTAATAATAGTAATAGTAGTATAATAATAGTAGTAGTAGTAATAATAGTAGTAGTAGTAATAATAATAGTAGTAGTAGTAGTAATATAGTAGTAGTAGTAGAAATATAATAAGTAGTAGTAGTAGTATAATAGTAGTAGTAATAATAGTAGTAGTATATAATAGTAGTAGTAGTAGTATAATAGTAGTAGTAAAAGTTAAGTAGTAATAATAGTAGTAGTAGTAGTAATAATAGTAGTAGTAGTAATAGTAGTAGTAGTAGTAATAAAGTAGTAGTAAATAATAGTAGTAGTAGTAATAATGTAGTAGTAGTAATAATAGAAAGTAGTATAATATAGTAGTAGTAGTAATAATATAGTAGTAGTAGTAATAAAAAGTAGTAGTAGTAGTAAATAATAGTAGTAGTAGTAATAAATAGTAGTAGTTAGTAGTAGAGTAATAATAGTAGTAGTAGTAGTAATAATAGTAGTAGTAGTAGTAATAATAGTAGTAGTAGTAATAATAGTAGTGTAGTAGTAGTAATAATATAGTAGTAGTAGTAATAATAGTAGTAGTAGTAATAATATATAGTAGTAGTAATAATAATAGTATAGATAATAATAGTAGTAGTAGTAGTAAAAAGTAGTATATTTAATAATAGTAGTAGTATTTAATAATAATAGTAGTAGTAGTAATAATAGTAGAGTAGTAGTAATAATAGTAGTAGTAATAATATAAGTAATAATAGTAGTAGTAGTAGTAGTAATAGTAATAATAAAAATATAGTAGTAGAAAGTAATAGTAGTAGTAATGTAGTAGTAATAAAGTAGTAGTAGTAGATAATAGTAGTAGTAGTAATAATAATAGTAGTAGTAGTAATAATAGTAGTAGTAGTAATATATAGTAGTAGTAGTAATAAAAAGTAGTAGTAGTAATAAATAGTAGTAGAAAATTTAATTAGAAATAGTAGTAGTAATAATAGTAGTAGTAGTAATAATAGTAGTAGAAAAAGTATATATATAGTAGTAGTAGTAATAATAGTAGTAGTAGTAGTAATAATAGTAGTAGTAGTAGTAATAGTAGTAGTAGTAATAATAGTAGTAGTAGTAGTAATAATAGTAGTAGTAGTAGTAATATAGTAGTAGTAGTGGTAATAATAAGTATAGTAATAATAGTAGTAGTAGTAGTAATAATAGTAGTAGTAGTAATAATAGTAGAAAGTAGTATTTAGTAATACTAGTAGTAGTGTATTTAATAATAGTAGTAGTAGTTTGTAGTATTATAGTAGTAAATAGTAGTAGTAGTAATAATAGTAGTAGTAGTAGTAATAAAGTAGTAGTAGTATAGTAGTAGTAGTAGTAATTAGTAGTAATCAATAGTAGTAGTAGGTAAATAATTAGTAGTAGTAGTAGTAAGTAATAATAGTAGTAGTAGTAATAATAGTAGTAGTAGTAGTAGTAGCAGTAATAGTAGTAGTAGTAATAATAGTAGTAGTAGTAATAATAGTAGTAGTAGTAATATAATAGTAGTAGTTGTAGCAGTAGTAGTAGTAGTAGTAGTATATATATATTATTATCAATGAAAATAATAATATTATTATTAGTATTAATAGCAGTTGTAGAAATAATAACAGTAGTAATAGAAACATTAAGTAATAGTTGTAATAGCAGAAGCAGCCAAGGTAGAACTTATAATAATACTAATACACAAATAACCCGCACATAAAAGAGAGGAGCTTACGACGATGTTTCGGTCCGACTTGGACCATTTACTAAAACCAGAAGAGAAGGCAGGAGTATATATAGGCCAGTAGACAGGGACGGGAGCAAGAGAGACAGTAGTGGAGGTAGTAGTAGTAGTAGTGGAGTCAGTCAGATACTATGAAAAAGGAGCACTGTAAGTGAGCTAGGGGCCCACAAGAGAGCTAGGGGCCCACAAGGGAGCCTGGGACCCTCAAGTGAGCTAGGGACCCGCAGAGGGCAAGAGCAAGAACACAGAGGGGGTAAAAAGCAATAATAAACGACAAATACCCAAGGCAGAAGAAAGAAAACCCAAAGGAGAAAGAGGAAAGAGGAAAGGGGAAGAGGGAGAAGAGGAAAAAAGAATCAGGTTAAGTCACGGGTGTTCTGAAGTTTGGAGCATTTTCAATATAATGGGAAAGGAAGGCATCTACAGAGACAAAGTCAAGACTAAGATTCATACAAGGGATGTTGTGTATAAGGGAGGATTCAACCAGACGGCGACTGTGAAAGTTAGGGGAAACAGTTTTAGCAGAAGACGAGTCAGTAGGATGGTTGTGATTTCTGACATGAGAGTAAAGAGCGTTGTTAGTGTCGGCAAGCCTAACACTACTTTTGTGCTCCCTAAGTCTGTCAGAAAGAGATCGGCCAGTTTCTCCAAAGTATTGAAGAGGACAGGAGGAACAAGAGACAGAATAGACACCGGGAGCATCTATAGAGGGAGGAGAGGTATGAAATAGATTAGTGCGAAGAGTGTTAGTCTGGCGAAAAGTAAGTTTGATATCTAAGGAACGGAGAGAGTTGTAGAGATTAGAAAGACCGGAAATGTAGGGAAGGCAGAGGACAGAAGAGTTCCCTGGCAGAGCACGGAGAAAGAGGGAGATAATAACATTTTTCTTGACAGAGGAAGCATGATAAGAAAAATAGTGAATGTACATGCCACTGTGCATAGGCTTGAGGTGCACGGAAAGGAAACAAAGAATTAAATTCCCATTCCTTGCTTCCTTTCCTTGATGTTCAAGACTTTGATATATATATATATATATATATATATATATATATATAATATATATATATATATATATATATATATATATATATATATATATATATATATATATATATATATATATATATATATATAATATTATATATATATATAAAATATATATATTTATATATATATATATATATATATATAGTTGTACACAGAGTGTTTAGAGAAGCTTTGAAATGGGAAAATGCTCAGACTTATTTACATACTTGATGCTGGTCTACGTACATTGATTAAGCCTCAGATATCAATTCTTTTTTTTTTTTTCCTGGAATACCTATATTTAATTTTTTCATTACTTTTCAATCTCTCCTTCTCTTCCATAATTGTGTTGTCTCTCCCCGAGTTGAAGATTGTTTCTTTCATATTCCGCAACTTTGGAGGTTCAATTAATTTCCTTCATGCACCAGTGAGTGACATTTATTTGAATTATTGGCACCAAAATGTCGTCTTATTGAATTTTCCCTGAGCTTCAGATAGATCGAAAATGTTATATAATTGACATTTTTATATTTGAGTAAGCTTTTTGTCTTTACTTTTGGAGTATCACAAGGGTTTTAATATATTAATGGGTGTTACTCTGTTTACATTAAAAATTCCATTGTAATATATATTGCTCTGTGAACTATTT